CCTGATCCAGTTCCGTGGTGCAAAGAACTACTCATGGCCCCCTTTAACATATTGGACCTTTATGCCCTAGAGCTAGGCCAAACAGCCCCAAACGGCTGAGAATGCTATCTCAATCGATGTCGTCTATTTTTTGTGTGTGGACTCCTTGGGTGTATCAGATGGTTAGTGGAGATCACTGTGCTCCAATTGCTGGTCAATGTCCCATGGTTGAGGGTTTGCTCTCCTTGATGCTGGTTGACATAGAGGTGCAGATCACGAGTGCCAAGTAGGCTACAATAGAGCAGAGCTAGGAAACAAGCGTCTTGAGGTTGGAAATACGCATCTCTAGCTTCCCGAAGCTTACTCTCCACAGAAACCACTTCCAGCCGCTCTTGAATAACATCATTTCGAATCCTCTCTAGCCTTGTCAGCCCACACATCCAGTGTAGCTTCCGCATCTCTACAACATGTAGCTGGTGAATAGGAGTTTTCTTAACCGCCCAACAATCTCCTCTGTACAACATAGCTGGACTCACAACGGACGTGTTAATCTTCCCTTTCATCCTTGCAGAAATTCATGTGTCACAAACTTCTCTTGAAGCCAACTTCTACTTGGCCCAATCAGCTCTAATACCAAGAGCAACATCCCTCTCTATCTCCCCATTGGCCGGGATGATCGAGCCCAGGTGACAATACTTGTTTCTCTTAGGCATTGGGTTGGAATCAATGTATTCAATCTTAGTCCTGCTTAGTTTGAAACTTTTCAATTCTAAGGAAAGGCGCCACAACTCAAACTTGTCATTAAGTCCTCATGTCTCATCAATCGCTACGATATCTTCAGCAAAAGGAATGCACCAAGGGACCTCCCCTTAGACACCTTGTAGTGAAATGGTCAGAGTCCCCACCAACAATCCTCACCCTAGTCCTAGCCCCATCATACATATCTCAATCTACATGGATGTACGCAATTGGCTCCCCTCTAAACTAAAGACACCTCCACAACATCTCCCTCGGCACCCTGTCATATGCCTTCTCTAGGTCAATGAACACCATATGTAGATCCTTCTTCTTAGCCCTGTACTATTCTATCACTTTCTGCAAAAAGTGAATGACTTACGTGATTGATCGACTCATCGACCAGGCATTAAACCAAATTGTTTCTTGGAAATGCACACCCTCTTCCGTAGTCTAGCCTCAATGATACACTCCAAACTTTTCATGGTTTGGCTAAGGAGCTTGATGCCTCTATAATTGTTGCAACTCTGGATATTGCCTCTACACTAGTACCGTGGGACCATCACACTCTCCCTCCACTCATATGGCATCTTGGTTGTTCTGAAATAGCTCAAACAAACCCACGGCTACCCACGTACTTCCGAAACACCAATGGAATATCTTCTGGCCCCAAAGCACTCCCCCTTCTCCTCCCATGAATGGCTTGGCCACCTCACCTTGACTAATGCATTGGCAAAACCAAAAGTCTTGATGCCCCTCTAATTGCCGTAGCTCGCCTAACTCAAGGCTCAGATGATCACCAAATGCATTTATAAGGCTATGGAAGTATCCCCACCGGTTGGACACCTCCCTCACCTTGAAAAGAACTCTACCATTGGTGTCCTTCACGAACCTCACCTGCTCCAGGTCTCTGGTCTTCCTCCTTTTAAACGAACCGAATATGTTTAATATATTAAACAAACCGAATATGAATCTTAAAAAACATTCGAACCGAATTCAAGTTCGAATTCGAATATCACCTTATTATCTTAACGAATACGAATATTATTCATGAATATTCGATTCGGTTCGTTTACAACCCTACTCGAGCAAAATGCAGAAGCTAAACCCCTTCTGGTTCCTACCACTCAAGCCAAACCCTCCATGCACTTTCCAAAACCCTCTGTTGAATTCGCAATATGGCCATTAAAGTTGGCTCCAATGAAAACTTTCTCCTCATGCAGGATACCACCTATCACCCCATCAAGTGTCTCCCAAAACTCTCTCTTGCTGTCGTCATCCAAGCCAAACAACATGAGGGGCATAGGCACTCACAACCTTGATAGCAAATCCACCTAGCATAAATTTAATGGCCATCAATCAATCACTAATCTTCCTCACCTCCACTACAAACTCCTGCCGCTCTTGTTCCATGAAAATACCACTCTGTTCTTGCCCTTAGCAATACCTGAGTACCACAAATTGAACCCATCTACATCTCGTGCCTTGGTACCCCACCCATCTTGTCTCCTGTACACACACCACACGCCACCTGGACCCTCCTCCTCTTGAGTACCTGCACCAACTCGATTGACTTACCGGCGAGGGACTTTATGTTCCACGAGTCAAAACGCACATTGGACACTACTCTACCCCCGCTTTAAGCCCCCCTCCCCCCTTTGACCTGCATTACTAACTAAAGCCACCCTACCAACACCCTAACACAAACACAAGCTCCAAAAGGAAACAAAAGGAGCAAGCAATAAACAGACAACAACAAGAAGGCTGAGTAATACGGTAGATATTAAAGGAGTAGTGCAAAGCAACCCGCAATCCAACAACAACAACAACAACAAAGGCTTACCCCAGTACGTGTGGTCGGCTACATAGATCAGACGACGCCATTGCGCCCTATCATGTATCATATCAGCTGTGAGATTGTTCACGCGAAGGTCTCCCTTGATCAATGCTTACCAAGTCCTCTTAGCTTTACCTCTTCCTCCAGCCACATGCCTATTTGCCATTTGATCAACCTTTCTCACGGGATGCTCTATTGGTCTTCTCTCCACATTTCCAAATCACCTAAGGCGAGTTTCCACCATTTTTCCTACAGTAGGTGCCGCTCCATCTTTAGCTCTCATAACATCATTCCTTATTCTATCCATGCGCGTATGACTGCTCATGCAACGAAGCATCTTCAAATCTGCCATACTTTGTGTTCATGTTCATCCTTTGCTGCCCAACACTCTGTCCCATCCAACCCGCAATCCAAGCAACAACAAAAAGTATGGACATAATAAATAAAGTCAGAGAAGAGCTAAGAAAGCAAGGTAGATGGGTCAGGTTGGAGGCAATGTAAAAGTGTCTGGTTGAAGGCTGGGTAGATGGGTTTGATCGGCAGTGGGGGGTCGTTGGCTGGGAGTGGGCTGAGGCCTAGGCAGGGGGGTGGGTGGGGTGTGGCTGACGAGATCAGGAGGTTGGCGCAAGCCTCTGGATGGGCCGGGGATAAGGCTAAGGCTGGGGGCAGGCTAGGGCCGGACGGCGGGCTACGACAGGGTTCGTCGGTTTAGGCTGGGGGCTAGAGCTTGGGGAGATGATTGACGGAAATGGGACCGTATGGGGATGGTAGATCTGGCAGGGTTGGGGTTGGGCGGGATGGTAGATCAGATTGGGTTGGGCGGTACAGCGTGAGGTAGAACGGCGATGGTTCCTGCTGAGGAAGGGAGATAGCGGGTCGGGTAGGATGGGGGTAAGGGTGCAATGTGTGGTTAAGGAACATGAATGTTTATTTAATGACGCCAAGTTTTTTCTCAGATCTACCAAATCCATGATTATGTAATAAGTCTATAATGCATGTCATATGTTATTTTGCACTCTCATTTTTTCATGCAATTTTATAATCTGTTTTCTTGTCTGTGTTTATGGACAGGTGATGTAGAGGATCTCAAGGAGTTAAATGTTTGTATGGTATTCTTTTAATTTAACATTGTCATCATTATTTTTTGCGAAGCCTATTTCCTTGTTTATCGTAGTGTTTTAGCTTTTGGTAAATAATGAGCAGCACCAAAATGACATATTAAACTTCTCACTTTCTAAAGTTTTTAAATGCATCAAGGATAGCCTTTCTGTTTTTACTTGGTAGGGTTGCTTACATCTTGACCCCTCAAGCCCCAATAGAGGAGGGATTTTACTGTTATCAATGTTATGTTATAAATACTTGTCTTTTCAGGCCAACAAACACCCACACACCAACTNCATCATTATTTTTTGCGAAGCCTATTTCCTTGTTTATCGTAGTGTTTTAGCTTTTGGTAAATAATGAGCAGCACCAAAATGACATATTAAACTTCTCACTTTCTAAAGTTTTTAAATGCATCAAGGATAGCCTTTCTGTTTTTACTTGGTAGGGTTGCTTACATCTTGACCCCTCAAGCCCCAATAGAGGAGGGATTTTACTGTTATCAATGTTATGTTATAAATACTTGTCTTTTCAGGCCAACAAACACCCACACACCAACTGACATTTCATTTTTTTGAGTTTTTTAAATAGTTTGTTGTATTCTTCAAACTTTTTGTGAGTTATTATTGTCTAAAAAATTTTAGCCTGTTTTGCTAGGTTTTAGCTACTACAACTATTTGATATTCTATAACAAGTAGTTCCATGGTAGTTAAGATCACGAGTCGGATCGTACGATCCTACGATTCCACAAATCCTTGAAGGCTTTGCGATCTGAATTGCAATTAAGAATCGAAAATCTGCTTGAGAGATCGGCGTTTTGGATCGTAAGATCGCTAGATCGGCTGGGATCGTGATCGACGGAAACAAATTTAGGTTTTGATGGAAATACCTTTGAGTAGTCTGTGCGACCTTTCAAATCTGCTCAGCATGGGATTTTTTTGGTTTCTGTATGTGTTTACTCCGTATTACTATTTTCATAAACTCCCTCAAAAAAATCTATTTGTCCACCATTTTACCCCCTTATTTTGTTGAGTAATTATTTTGGACAACTTTGAATTATTTGACAATTAATAAATACTCCATATTATTTTATATGTGAGTATAATAAATAAAATAATGTTATAAAAATTGAATTCATTAAATTTACTTGTACATCTTATAATAACTCAAATATATTAAATTTACATTATAACTAAAGATATAACATATGTTCTCATAATTTGTAGTCTAAGTGGGTAGCAAATTGACCAAAAAAATATAAATCTGAACAAGTTTTTTTAGGACGGATGTAGGATCATACGTTCCGAGTCGCGATCCTATGAGTTACGATCTTTACTAAGTCTTTCGACCCCACCTAGAATATCGAGTTTGACAACCATGAGTATTTCTTTGTTCTCAAGGCATTGTTATGCAAAGTTTTTGTTTTCAAGAGCTATTTTTCCGTTTTTAATAGTTTGGTGAAACTTTTGCATTATTTTGTGTAGTCTTAGTAATATTTTGTGAGATTTTTTTGAACCCCTAAGTTTTGTGTTTTGTGTGTGTGTAGGGTGGCCATTTTTACCATGTACGTGTATCCATTGTGCATTCTGTTTTGCATTCTTTGAGATTTAATAAATGTTTTCTAAGCAATTCAACACAGTACTGAAGGCGCTGTTCTTTATACCAGTCTATGTGTACAAAATTGACAAGGTTGAAAACTAGAAATACAGTTTTCGTAAATCAGATAATAGGTATGGAAAAGAACTCAATTAGAAATTAAAATTGTGTTCCAATAAATACTTAATGCCTGATGCTCGTATATATTGTTATGTTTTGATTGTCTTTATGAGATACTGCATATATTGTTTGAGAACCGAAGCCAATTTGACAAAGCTATCTTTTGTTTGAATATTGCTTATATTCCCATGATGGTACTTTTGGTGAGCGCAACACTTGGTTTTACTAATGGTTTTTAGTTTATGAAGGTAGAGGAAGACTCTAGCAAAGCATCTTTCTATTTCGATGAGCAGCCTATAGAAAGCCCTGAAAAAGATTATTGGTCTGACTTTGATGATGACAGATATCAGACACTGAATAGTTTTGCACCTGAAATACGTAATATAGATAGATATGGTGAGTGATCTTTTTATATTCTGCATTTATTCCTTCTTCTTTGATAGTATGTGGTATTTATGTTTTCTCCTGTTAGCCATTATTCTTATTTTGACTCTATTATAAGTAATTGTAAAGGTCTCCGTATCATGTGTGGAGACCTTAGATTTCAGTTTTGTCATCGCTCGTCCAATGAGGCAGCACATATTTTAGTGCGGGCTACTCATTCAATATCGGGTGTACTGGAGTGCGTTGTATCACCCCAGACTTCATTGTAAACTTTCTTTAATTTAATGAAGTGAATTGTTCTTTCAAAAAAAACATCTGGATCATGTTTTCTAATTAAAAAATGCTAATAATTTGTTGATAATGTGTTTTGATTGCAAATATCTATTAGTGTACTATCTCAAGCTTAGTTTATTTGTCTGGACTCTGGAGGAGATTTAGTTCATCTGGGACTGTGATGGTGGTGTGTCCGATTATGGGTATCTAAGAGTCTACGCTCTCTGTGATGATGACTCTCTTGGGAAATTGCTGCATTTAGTTGTTCTTGCATATTCATCAAGGAGGTGTTTTTACTGTTTCCATGGTTATGTAACAACCCGCAAACACGTCAGTCTGTTTACTTTACCAAATTGCTGAACTTCCGTACTTGTCTTGATCCAATGTTTAGTTTATGATGTTTGTCTGATAAATGCTATTTTGCAACCTCATGCACTGATTAGTTTTTTTTTGTGATTATGAGCAGCTCATATCAAGGACGGTAGGGAGGTGAGTGTTAATATGGAACTTTTTGCTAAGCTTTTGTCTTTTCAAGATTTAGTTCCTTGTTCATCTTTGAGCTTTGAATTATTGTTAGTTGTATCTCTGTTATGTGATAAATACCAGTATCATACTTCCTCCGTTTCACAAAACTGATCCTACTTTCCTTCATGGGCGGCTTCATATTCCTGCTCCACCTTTTTGTCTATGTCGTCCCACTTTCTTCTTTTTTTTTAATCTCTCACCATACCTTTTCCATTTTAATTGGGATGCAGCCTAACAATGAACCGATTCAGAAATGACAAACTTGAAATTGGCTAGAAGTCTAGGACCCAAGAGTTTGAAGATGAACTGAACAAATAATCCGTTCATTAGATCTAGCTAGGAGTTAGATTAATGATGTGATGTTGTGCTGATCCTCATTATGATGACCATTTTTAACAAAGCATTGGAGAAGTAGTAAAACAATACAACAAAAGGCAGAGGTGTATATGATGAATACATGGTGTAAACGGTGCTCATAAGAATTATTGAAATGAAAAATAAAGGCTGATTCATTGATTTTTCGTTTTAGGTGTTTCCGTTACTGGTGTAAGTTTGACCATGCCACATAAAATTTAACTTTGATCATGTCATGCAACTTGATGCATATCCCTTCAATGGCAGGTCTATTTCATAGATCTTGAGGAGGACTGCCGTGGAAAAGTGCTCCTCTGCAAGGATGTATTGAAGAAAGTTGGCTGGTATTTGAAATACTTATTCTCCCTCTATGCACATTCATATCTTTGAAAAAATATCAAAAATTGCTGGAAGTAATAAGCTGTTTTTTTTTTGTTTTTGAGGAAAGTGGAAGGATCTCAGAAAACTGTCTTTATTTTTCACAGTTTGATTAAAACTTGACCATGAAAGCATTTTTCTAAAGGGAGGACGATATTCCAAATAAAGGAACTCTGTTCCCCTGTTTTTCCCGACTGATTCACATATCTCAGTAACAATAACAACAATCCAGTAATTCGCATATGTGCAGTTTGAAGAGAATAGATGTATGCACACCTTACCCCCAACCAAAAAAGAGGACACCTGGCTCAGAAAACAACGCTTCTTAGGTGTCCCTCTACCTATCCACAAATTCCATACCCCTAGGCCCTTATCTATCACATCTCCTCTTCGTGCAATGGTTTAACAGAGCCTCTTTGTGCAATGGTTTAAGATTTTTTATAGCGTGTTCTCCCTCTATGCAAATGACCAAACTATGGAAATTGATAATGAATTTGTATTATGTTGTAACTATATTTTTTAGGTAGACTAACCTTCTGAAAGAACAAAAAACAACCTGAATGGCCCTTTTCTCCTAATCATTGTAGTAATGGTTTCATCTGTACTGAAATTGATAATGAATTTGTATTATGTTGTAACTATATTTTTTTGGGTAGACTAACCTTCTGAAAGAACCAAAAACAACCTGAATGGCCCTTTTCTCCTAATCATTGTAGTAATGGTTTCATCTGTACTGTATGTTGTCCAGCTGCCCATGTCATTTTCTGTGGTGCTCCAAGATAATACCTCATATGTTTTATGCAAGATTAAAGGAGAATGAAGCTGCAAAGCTCCCCAGTAAGTCTTCTTATCATCTAAACCACACCAAAAAGCAATCACATACAAGTTTTTTTTAGAGGGAGAGAGAATGAGTGAATGAATAATCGTTGCATCTGTTTCTTTCCAGATGTCAAAGGAGTTTCCAATGTGATTAATGCAGCTGAGGTGTTCGTTGATGATTGATAAGATCACTGTATGCTATTCCCAAACATGCCCAATGATATTTTTATATTGCATTTGTTTATTAGTATATATTTAAATTTCATATTCCATTACTACGTATTTCTTACTCCATTTCCCAATTTAAATTAGATTTGTTGTTTATCATGTTGGACTAAAATAGTTTTCAACTCAATTATTTTAAACTTTCCAAATACTCCCTTTGTTCAAGAATAATCTACCGTTTTGCCTTTTTTCATTTTTCAAGAGTGTTCAAGAATAATCTATTATCTTGACTTTTTTTCCATTTTTCAAGAGTTAAAAATGTAATGAATATATTTAAAATACCCATTTATTTTGTCACCATTGCCCCTACCCCACAAGCCCACTACCAATGCTTTGCCCGCACATCTCTGTCAGCCCCACACCCCTATCATAAGGCTCCACAACGGCTACTCTCAGTACCTTGCTAGCCCACAACTGTTGGCAACCCCACCATCGTCGCCACAGTCCCACCATCGTTGCCAGCGTGGCGTAGATCTAAAAGAAAAAAAAAGGAGAAAGTTGGAAAAACAGAAGAAAAAAGTACAGATCTAGGCTCACACTTGCCTACATCATTGATGCCAACCTGGCCATTGCCTCCAGCTCAACCACCACCCCTAGCCCCAACCATCACTGCCACTGTGGCGTAGATATAAAAGAAAGAATAGAAGAAGTGTAGATCTAGACTTACTATCGCTATCGGCCCCATGTGCGTATCTAGAAGAAAAAATGGAGAAGAAAGATGATAAAGAAGGCAGAAGGGTAGAAAGAGGAGAAGAGAAAGAGACGAGGAGTTGAAGAAGAGAATTAAGGAGAAGAATAAAGAAAAAGGCATGGTGGAGATGGAGGAGAAACAAGGAGAGAAGAAGAAATATGAGAAGAAGATGAAAAGGAGTGGCAAGAGTAAAAAAGATGGAAAGATAGGACAAAAAAAGGAAGAAAAGAAAGAACAGAGAAAGATAAGGGTATTTTTGGAAGAGTTCGAAAAAAGTAGAATGAAAAGATTTTTTTGGATGGAAGGAGTTTAAAAATATAAAGTTAAAAATCGTCATAAAGTATTTCCTAAAATTGTGCTTGTCTACCTCTCATGAAGTGAGTTTGAATTATTATATTAAGGTTCTATTCTTTTCAGTTGTAAAATAAAGTTGATTGTTAGAAGAAATTGAAAGGAGTTGGAAGAGAATTAGAAAGGGTTATGAAAAATTGGAAAGAGTTGAGAGAAATTGAAAAGCGTTGAAAAATTTTTAAGTTTTAAAAAATAAAAAATCTAAAAGAATTATTTTATTTTATAAATTACATATTTTCATTTAAAAAATATATACTCTAATTTTTAGTATTTTAATCTCTTTTTTTATGCTATTATATTTTATCTCAAAACATATTTGTAATATTTTGTGACACTCTTTCTTTACTTTTTAAAATCAATATCAATCATATAATTTTTCTTTCTTTAATTGTATCTCATTAATCTATTTAACAAAAATAAGAAGACAGATGGAATAATACTTTTTACTAATCTTAGTTTTAAAAAACTAGATTTAAATAATATAACGATGTGTCAACTAAACAAAAATAATTTTACATCACATTTTATATATCAAAATGATTACGAAAATGATTAGAGGCTAATAACATTTATTTTGTATTAGAAATTATTAATTTAACATGATTTATATTTCATCTTATTTTTCAAAAGTTTACAATATAGTGAATGTATCTGCCCCCTCGCAAAATAGCAGGCTTGTGTTTGATATTTTAGTGTACGAACTGAGCATAGGGCCTCATAAATGGTGGCCCGAATTTTATGACCAGACCATGATTTTATGCTCAAGTCCATATGTTGAATGATCTAAAATATTTATTATTAGTATAATTATAACAAATAATAACATTAATAATAATAATAATAATAGTAATAATAATAATAGTAATAATAATAATAATAATAATAATTATTATTATTATTATTATTATTATTATTATAATAATAATAATAATAATAATAATAATAATAATAATAATAATAATAATAATAATCAAAGAACCATATTATTTTAATGGATGGTGATAGTCACACCCCACCAAATTATTAAATTCACCCCACTCTATTTTCATCCCTTGTTTTCTAACTACTTTGAATGTTATGGTTCGCAGAGATTCATATACATTAATCAAGTTATATTTTGAATTAAAATATATTTATTGTGTATTTGAATTTATTAATAAAAATATGGTATGCATTATACAAATTTTTAAATCAATAAATATGATATCTTTTTTGAAATGAAAGTATGCATTTTTATATAAATATTTGTTTTTGAAAAATAAACTAAAAGGAAAATTGGCGAGTCGTATTGTAACTTTTTACTTTGTATTAAAATTTTCTATTTAAAAAGGTAAGAAGTCTTATATAAACCTATTCTTAAAATAATAAATTAATTATGTAGATTAAAAAAATTAAATGTTGAAATGCGTATGGTTATAATGTGTAATACTTAGAAAATGAAAATTTTTATACCATAATAATAGTCATTAAACATAATGGTATATAATAAAAGTTATTTTTAAAATGAATAAAAGTTAAAGTATATATAATTTTTTTTGAAGATGATAAAATGAAATAAATAGTGGATAGTTTTAGATATTTACCTAAATTATTTTTGAATTAAAAACTTAATATAAAATTTTATAGATAGTAACATAATTATGCATTATGGGGTGTATTTAGTTGATGGAGTGTTTATAGTATTTTAGCGGGTGTGGCTTTCACTACACTATTTCAAATTATTATAAATACACTTAGATACTTCTATTAGTTCTATGGAGAAAATAGTAAACTATAAGTATTTTTAATATAATGAATACATATTTATTACCCCATTTAGTTAACAACGTACCACACATTGATTGTGGTATTCTAATAAATAATATTTTATACTCTACACGCAGTAGCAATATCAAACAAAATATATTTTATATTTTAGTTGTTCTCTCATTTAATCATTATAGTTATTATATCAAACATCTAATATATTAACTCATCATTCTTTTCAAAAAATCTTTTTTAATTATTTAAAAGTTTTTGTCATGCGGATTGGGCCAGCCCAAAGTACGCGGGTATCCACGCGAGTCGGGCTCGGGCTTCAACGGTCAGGCTCACTATACGGGCGGAGCTGAGCTCGAACTAAAAAAATTTCGCAATCTAACGTCTTGGCCCGAATCGAAACCTGGCATGCGCTTTGATCAGGTCTATAGTGTATATTACTTGTAAGAACTCTAATATCAAAACAACAGAGTTATGAGTAATAATGTATAAAAGTTTAGATTAAATATTTTTTAGCAAAAAAATCTAGAATGCTGAATCGGAGATTTGAACACAAAAATATTCTACTAAGGGGTCAGTGCTTTCAAGGGTTTGAGTTGTATTTATTTTTTGAGTTGTATTTATTTTCAAAAGTTTCCGATTCTTTTATTCAATTATATAAATTTCACTATTTTTAAATAAGGAGGGGAAAGGAAAAAGACATAACATGATGTCAATTTATTCAAACTCTGGTTAGGGTTAGTGCTTACAAGAGTTTGAATTACTTTTATTTCCCAACATTTATTATTCTTTTTTATTATGAAAATTATACTATTCCCAAATAATGAATGAAAAAGAAAAAAAGAAATCTCCCTGAATAAGAGTAATAAAGTCTGAAAATATCAAAATATGAGTTTTAACTCTTTTGAGATCAAAGTAGATGTATAATGGTAGTGTGATGTAAGAGTACGCGTTGGCAGTGTGATGGAAAAATCATGTCAATGTAATATGTAGTGTGATCAGTCAACTATAAAATGTTTGGAATGATACTCTTGTGGCCGTCGGTGATGGATGCCAAGAAACATACTTTCTAAAAGACATGTAGCTAGTAACCCAATTTTCAGCCTTATCCACCATACGTAAGCTAGTAATGTCTACCCATTGTTCATTGGGAACTTTACATATAGAACGAAGTACTTACATCCTTTCTTAATCTAGATTCGCGTGTTGCTGTAATTAAATTTTGGAAACTCCAATTGTGGATTGAAACTCAGTGCCTATGAGTATGACTTGCCTCCACCACCTTCGTTGGTAGAGGTGTTGTACTCCTCCTGGCCTACTGAGCTTCCAAATTTTTCAGGAGCATCAATATCTGGTCCATCCTTTCATTCATTTGGCTGTCTTATTTGCCAATTGGCATGACTTCAAATAGAAAACACGTAGTATAGCATATGATTTAAACTCATACCCCTGCGAGGGATTATTTTTGGGACATAACAGAGTAGTTCAAGTTTTTTTAAAATAAATAAAAGACAAGATTGTATGGTCAACACCAATGTTAAAAAGGTATATTGTGAACATCACATCAATGCCTATACATGGTGTGAAGCAGAAATAGTGGGATGGAGAAAGTAAAAGGACAAAAAACGGAATGAAGGATGGAGTATACATTTTCTTAACAAAGTGATAAATATAATTACAATCTGACATTGTTTTTTACCATTTCACTATTTGGCAAATAAGGCAGTATAGACTTTATAGAAAACCACCCTTAAAAATAGCCAACTAAACCTCCGGATCGAACACGGCTACTCGGTGTGCTATTTACAAGAATACTCCAAAAATCAATTAATTACATCATTACTTCCAAAATTGCTCTCATTTTGCAAAAACACTCCACCCACCACCTTACTTGCACAAGAAATTTGTGTAATATGTAAATAGATTTTTACAGTGATGATTTGAACTTTTTTTATTTTCGTAAAAAAATAAATCACTTATCCTCTTCCAACTCAAATATTAATCATGTCTTTCACAATTAGAACGCGTCATTTTCAAGTGAAATTCCAAAGTTGCATATTTAAAAAATTATGAGTTGGAGAAAAAAAGAGTTAGAAAAAGTTGCAAGTTAACTTTTCAAATCCAAAAGAACAAACTCTTAAAGTAGGAGATTGATATTTGAGTTAGAGCAAGAATAAGTAATTTATTTTCTTTTTGTATGAAAGCCGAAAAAAAGTGATATATTTTCGAAGACATAAGTTTAAAAATTAATGTAGATATTACACAATATGATTGTCCAAGATACCGGGTGAACTTTTTTTTTAAATAGAACAATTGTGGGAGTAATGG